ACAGAAACCATAATTTTAGATTATAATGTTTTAATTCAAACAATGAAATTACGAAGCGCCAAAAAAGAAATATTTTATTGAATGCCAAGAATGCTTTCATCATTTTTTTTCTAAAGTCATAAATTGAAGGGCTGACATCTTGATTTATCACACTGTGCACTTTTAATAGCCAACAAGTTTGCTATTAAATTTTAATCAACCTGCCTATTAAATTTCATTCAAATCATTTGGAGACACTTCAGCTTCTTTTAATAGCTAATTCATTCACTGGGAATCCATTAATATGGATTTAAATGACATGTTTTCTCTAAAGTACAGATTAAGTTATTGTTAGTTTAATATGAAGTGAAATAGTCTGAATTCAGAGGTATTGCCTCTGTTTTAACATACAAATCTGAAGCTTCAGAGTTGGGAACCATAGAAGTTACCTCTTTGATTACTTTTATTTTGTGTTAATTGGCTACATATGTGTCTTCTTGTCCAGACACATGTGTTTTTCTACAATAAATGCTTGGAAGTCAAATTACTGGGTCATATCATGTTCACATTTTCAATTTATTGAAATAAAATATTGCCGAAATGTTGTCAAATGTGTTTGTACAATTCACATTCCCATGAGTAGTGCACTTATTCTCTCAAATTCTTGCTAGGATTTAGTATTGTCGGATGGGCATTTTTGCCAATCAGATAGAGTATGAAATAGTATTTCATATCACTGTTATACTCGGCATTTCTTATTATAGAGAGGTGGGTAATTTTACATATATTTATTGTGAGTTGCCTGTTCTTATCTTTTGCTAACATTTATATTGGGTGATTGAATTTCATTTATTAATTTGTAGACATTCTTTATATAACATGCACACTAGCATTTTGTTTTTTATACATGTGGTTTACACTTTATCCCAATGGCTTATGGGTTATGAGTACAGTTTCAATTTGAGACAAGAACTTTATCTGCCTTTGCTTATAGATTGTAATCATCATTATTTGGTTTTTAAAAACTCCTTCTTTAAAATTGGAACTATAATTTTTAAGGTTTTAAGGTGTTTTTTATATTTATTTTTTTTCCACATTATTCAATACAACACTTATCATATTGCAGGTGAGAAAACTGTCATCATTAGATATTCAATGATGTTATGCATATAATTAACTAGAAAGCAAAGCTCTTCAGAGATTTTAGGTTTTTCAACTGCTTAAGCCAACAGTGGTAGGATTGAAGTTCAGAATTGTTGGTGAATCTGCTTCACAATGGAGAAAGTGGTTGGTTTGCGGAAGTGAAATTTCACGACTCATATTAGTCATTTATTAATCTCCAAAGCTCATCTTTTGTAGTCAAAACCATGTATTTCTGTTCTTTTAACTTGGACATTTTGAATTCTTTTGTATAGTACTCAAAGAATACTGAGTCTGAAAATACTGGGTCAATTTTGATTAACCATAGGCAAAATAGCAGTAAACCAAAATATTTATCGTTGTCATTCACACAGTAGCAACTCAATTCATTTCCTCTAAATCAGATTATTTCTTCACAGCACTAATGATATGTAGTCAATCCTATAGCTATATTTATTTTTTACTCACACACTGCTTGTGAATTTGTGCTGAAATAAAACAAAACACAGAACAAATGAAAGTATTATTAATAAAGATAAAATAATTTACCAAAGTGAAAAAAATATGACATTTAGTATAACTCACTGCTCATTATTCATGTATTTTTAGCATTGTCCATATTATATAAAATCTTACATGCAGAAGGTCTGTCGTGACTCAAATTTGAGCTTTTAAATTGGAACCTATATTTGAAAACAGTGTGTCTGAACAAAATAGACATGAATTCAAATAAGGTATCCATGAATCAAGAGATTTTTGATAATGTTGCAGAAGGCTTATTTTATACTATGATCATAATCAGCTCTGTTCTGTTTAGACCAAGTTCAATTCAGGAAACACATTGTTTCCATTTTTCTAAATCAAGATTGACTATTTTCCTTCAATCTATATATCCTCTCAAATCTGTCTTAATTCTCCAATGATTTTCCGGGGTTGTAAATTACCTTCTATGACTGTGGTGGTTAACTTGTCTTACATTCTGAAGTGGCCATATTCCTTATTATGACAAATTATGGAGAAAGCTTATTATGAAAATCATAGGAGAAGCTATCATATAAACAATTAAACTTTTAAATGGCATGCAGTATAAAGCTGAGCTATATAAAATGCAAGCCTTTGTATGCAATTCAACAGGAGCTAATTTAATCGAATACTACCCAATTATTGGTCATTACAATTTAAGTACTTCTTTTCCAATGAGGCCTTTTTCTCTTTGCTAAACATATATCCTTTCACGTTTTAATTTTTTGTATAATTGAATTAACTCCCATTTACCTCATAATATCAGACAAAAATTCATACAGCCTATTTCTTAGAAAAATAATTTAAATGAATGATGACTCTGTTAGAATTAACTTTGAATATTACATATGGTATTTATATCATCACAACCTTCATGTTTATACTATTAGCAGGAACATTTTTCCAGATGAAAGACACAGTTCATGTTGTTTGTTTTAAAATTTTGAATTATAAAGCATATCATAGTTTTGTTAAAATCAGAATTAGCAATAAAATAATAAAAAGTTTAATTTATAACACTATTTCTGAAATTTCTATTGTAATATATATTCTACTTATTCCAGGCATTAATGTGTTATCCTGACAGAAAAGGACACAGCTTCAAAATGTATCAAATTCAGGAGTACAAAGACCTGAGAACAGTTATATCATTTCTATTACTACATGATTATAGAGAAAAGCTGTTTACCTGTTTTTCTAATATAATCTTTGCCCTCACCAAAAGTTTATCCTTGTACTGAAATATAAAAATTTTGAATTAAAATAAAAAAGATTCTACAAATAAAATACTTTGAAAGCTTCCAGGAAAGAAAAGAAGAATGACAATGAAATTCTTCTGGCAATCTAAGCCCTACAACTGGGCAATAACGTATAATAATTCAACATATTCTATATCAAATAATTTTGTAAAAGTGTTATGTGGTTTGCCAATCTATATCCTCATATATTCAGTTTTTTTTGAGCTTTTTTCCCCCTACATGGGTAGGACAAATCCACTCTAAAATACTGTGCTTAGAACAAAATAAAATGGAAGCAAATAAATAATACATGAAAGAATTTAAGAAATAAAGATGTGAATAACTGCACTATTAAGAATATCTATTTTCCATATTAGGTGATAAAAATAAAGGTCACCTTGAAATACTTCCTTCAAATGACTATATCTATATTCTAATCTTCAACTTCATGAAAAATAGGCGTTATATGAAAAGAATGAATGTTTTGGTTATCCTGTGTAGGGCTTTGTGGTTGGAAAGACCTTGTTTGGAATCTAGATGGTGCCCTAAGTAGTCATGTCATCTTGGAAAAGTTACTTTAACTACCAAGATACCCAGTGTCTTCATGAATATAAAGAAAATGGATAATGAATAATGAACAGAGTACAATATGCAAATGACTACATACAGACTAAAGGAGAAACAGAAAATTTATTAACAACTATAAGGGGCATACTGTGTTCCATCAGAGAAAAGAACACCAGCAACTCTTATGTTGAAATCTTCATACTTAGCTCTAAAAAAAAGGAATTTTTAAGAATTACAACCTCAGTAACTTATATAAAGCCAATAGTAATATTTTAGAGCTAAGTGGAAACACTCTATAGCGCTTATGTTTAGAATTTGCCCAGGTAGCTCACTGCAGCTTGGTTGATTCATAAGAGAGGTAAGAAATACTGCTCATAATATGTAAGGTAATATGATAATAAACCAATAAAAATGAGGAAATTAAATAGATTTTAAAAACCTCCTTTTTAAAAGGATCTTTGAGAGTTTTAGGTTAATAACAATAATAAATACAAACTGTTTATTATTGTTTAGTTAGCTGTGAGAGACTGGATTACTTGGAGGAGGTACATCAGAGACAAAGCTAAAAGTAATGCATAAGAAGGATTTGCTGAGTAAGCGTTACAAATATTTTTCTTTTTCAGACCCTGCCAAAAATTTATAGCCAAGAACCTTTGCCCCAGATTGACTGGACATCAATATTTCATATATTTCATTTTGCGACTTGAATAGAGAGTTAACTCTGAAAGTTATTTGGCTTCCTTGAGTTAAAAACCTGGATATAATACAGCCTTGTTTAATTATCTATTTGACTCACTTAAAAAATCTGTGCCTATTTTGTCTTTTTGTTATTAAATTGATTTTCCTAACACAGTCTTCTTTATTTTATTGTTCCTTTTCTGATTGTCTCTACTGATAACATGTACAAAGGAAATAAACATATATAAACAAAACACTGTTGCCTCATTTACACAGAACATAAAGAACAAACTTATAGACATGCTGGACATAAATATAATGGTAAAATTCTCAAAAGAAAAATTTACCAATGTCATAGAATACTTATGTTTGCATTCATATCAGCATAATGCTTGTTCAAAATAAAAATAGTTTGTTATATACGTTACTCTGATTTGTTAGCTATGCAAGTACCACACGTACATTATTAACTGTCTTTGCAAATTTCATAAGTAGATGTCAGATTATATTAGGAGCTGCTTAATATTTACAGCCAATGATTTTATAATCCTTCAGAGCAGCAAGGCTTTGGGGCAATACGGCATATTTTATGCATATAAGCCAAATTATATTTATTGACGTTAATAAACTATAGTGAATGAATATGAGTGTTTTTCTCTAGCAGCTTTAATTTATATAAATCATTAATCGCAGTAAAATACCACTCAAAGTTTTTCATTTTCACTTTTCTTTAAAAACATGAAAGAAAAATATGTTTAGAAGCCTGAATAGTAATGAGATGGCAGGTGATTTATTTTGAGGTTTCTTCTGCCTCAGTGACCAATCTCCTGGGAAAGACAATACCGGCTCTGAGAAAACATTAGTTAAAAACAGGTCTGAGCCACATCCCTGCTTCACTACATAACTGGTTACTTAGCAGCGCTGTCTGAATTGGACTAGTGTTCTCTAAGCTTCTGGAGGGAGAGGACAGGGCTTAAAAGAAAAGTGAAGGTGGTGTTTGCTTATGCCATTATCTAAGGTAGGGAGAAGAAATATATTACATTTATTTCTTTGATGCTAAAACATGCTTATAAACCAAAAGTGGGAAATACAACTAGGCAGATGCAATGTGCATTTAATTTCTAATTTAGCAATGACAATTCAGTTTTATTATTTTATTCTTTTTATTAGCCTCCAGGTAGCAAAATCTATTATCATTTCTTTTATTTGATATTCAGGTAATCACCTCATTCTTCCCACCTATTTCTGCAAAATAAAAATGAAAACAAAACTTCGGTAGGGAATGATGAATTTTAATATCTGATTACTTGAGAACACTAGCAAGGACAAGTTTTCATTTATTAGAAAATATAAGTGAACTTCTGAATAAAACAATAATAATATTTATGTTCCAGGCACTGTTGTAAGCAATTTACACATTAATATATTCATTTACTCCTCTCAAGGACCTTCTGAAGTGAGTACTGTTTATTTACTCATTGCATAGACCCTGAGATGTTAAGCAATTTGCCAGAAGTCTCTGAATTAAAACTCAGCTGTTCATTCTTAGAATTATTTTGCAAAACTAAAATGAGAGGGTCAACTATTTGCAAATGTCTATTTGACAGCAACATCTTTCCCCTCTGTAGCAACCATACTCCTAACAGACGGGGTCACCTTTCAGTAGGTAGTTTTGCCACTAGCTTTGATCCAAAATTTACCCTTAAAAGTCTATAAAAACAAATGTATTGTCATAGGCAATCACAGTTTTACTAATTACATATATTTACTGAGAATGCTTTTGCAGATTAACAAAGATCTGAACTCTGAAAAAAGAATCCATCAGCATTAATAAATAAGTGCTACACATTTACCAATCAGTCTTCCTATACATAACAACTAAATTTGGCTTAAATAAACATATCCTTACTGGTCAGATCTCTATGCATAAAAATCTAAATCAAATTAACTTGTCTGAGAGGTTGACAAGATGGAGGATAGGAGATTATGGAAAAATAAAAACTCATGATGCTAGCCAAGCAATTGTTCCAGAAGAAAAACAAATGCCCTTTGTTCTAATTCTGGGAAAATTTGAATTTTCATGGCTGGGGTGGGAACGGGGCACTCTCATGTGATTCAAAGATCCTTACTGGTAAGAGCTACTTAGCAAAACTTGATTTTCAAATGGAAGTTTCTGACCTCAATTTTACTAATTAAATAAAAAGACAATGGGAAATATAATATTTATGATCAGATAAAGTGAATAAGTATAATATTTATGATAAGATAAAGCCTAATAAATATAATATTTATGAGATAAAGCCTAATTTCAGAAAATATCCTAATTTCTACATAAAGCCACAAAAAGATTAGAAATATTTAACAATTCATGCCACTTCCAGAGGAAATTTCTCAGTCAACATTTCATTTTTGGATCAAACTAAAGTTTTAGAGGTATTGTTAACCTAAATAGTTTAATGCTGGGTACAGTGGCTCTTGTTTGTAATCCCTGAACTTTGAGAGACTGAGGTAGAAGGATCTCTTGAAGCCAGGAGTTCAAGACCAGCCTGGGCAACAGAGTGAAACCTCACATCTACAAAAGGTTTTAAAAAAATGGTGTGGGAGCCTGTAGTCCTAGCTACTCAGGAGGCTGAAGCACGAGGAATACTTGAACCCAGGAGTTCGAGGCTGCAGTGAGCTATGACCACGCCATTGCACTCCAAACTGGGTGACAGTGGGAGACCCTGTCTCAAAAAAATAAAAATATCTGAGCATGGTGGCTCACACTTGTAATCTCAGCACTTTGGGAGGCTAAGGCAGGAAGATCACGGGGTCAGGAGTTCAATACCAGCCTGGCTAACATTGTGAAACCCCACATCTACTAAAAATATGAAAATTAGCCAGGTGTGGTGGTGCGCATCTGTAAGTCCAGCTATTCATGAGGCTGAGGCAGGAGAACTGCTTGAACCCATGAGGTGGAGGTTGCAGTGAGCTGAGATCATGCCACTGCACTCCAGACTGGGTGACAGTCTAAGACTCCGTCTCTTAATATATATATATATATTTTGTGTGTGTGTAATTTGCAGAGTAGTGGAAAAAACTACTCTAGCTACAAGTCATTTTACTGCTACCAGGAAGTTGGAGCTACTAGAGATTTGAATTAGATTTCCAACAGTGCTGGGAGGAAACTGGGAATTGAGTGCTGACTACACCTTCAAGATATGAGCAGAATAGTAAATATTTAAATGAACCAATGCATAAAACATCCTGCAGTCCTATGAGTTTGTGAAAACTTGAATTTGGCTTAGAGTTAATCTTTGATGAAACTCTCTATAATCAACCATCACCTTAGAGCTCTTCTAAAGCTCCTTTCACTTGTGTATACAGTGGCATTGCTGAAGTTAACTTGATAGTACTGCTGGGGTATTGGCCTCAAGGATTTCTAAATTTGTCTAAGTTTATAACGTTGTGCCAAACAAGTCAGTTTGAGAAAAATATTTGAAAATGTATAGAAAACATTTCGAGAAACACCTTCATATTTACAGATATTTAAAGTACAGTTTTAATGGAAGATTTTAAACAGATGAAATGACAAAACAACAAACTTCTAAAGAGAATATAAAGGAATTAATATACTTATTGAAAATTATTATATCAATAAATCTTCCAAGGTTTCACATGATTCCAAGGAGTAAAATCCCAATAGTAATCAAATTTGTCACCTTGGAAAATCTAGAAAGTTAACGCCACACTTATGATGCAACAAACTGATTCAAGAGCAGAATATTTGAGAAGGTTTAAAAAAAATAAATACCATCAAGAAGTACTTCTACACTGCATGATGTATTCGTTTTTTTTTTTTTTAGTGGATCCTAAAGATGATAATGATTTATTATTGTTCGTAAGAACAATGATAAACATACAAAACTTTTAAATAGTACCCTTTTGATGAATTGACTAGTGGAATGAACAGGAAAGAAAACCTAAATTAAAAATAGAACTGATTTTTGGACAACAGTTTGTAGTTTTCAAGGGTCAGAACTATCTTAAAGACAAAAATAAGAGATTTAATACATCTAACTTAGAAAGAAAGGAAAATGGAGTCTGAATTTAAAAAAAACGCTATCTGTAAAAAACTAACTAAATAAGAAGTTAGAATGTATGAAGATGTAAAGATGTAGTCTCTAAGATTTTTATTTTAGTAATAGAGAATATAATCTTTTGAATAAACATAAGTGAATAATTATGTTGCTGAGGTGACTGAAGTGTTTATCTGAAAAGATGAATCTTGGATGTCACCTACCTAAATATGATACACACGCCTGAATGCAGGGAAGATAGGACCCTGGGAAATAAGACAAGATTAAAGAAGGAGGTTAAAGACTATCTTCAGAGACATGATATGAAGAAATAAAATTTCAAGTGGTCTACTCATCTAAGATTAAAAAAATAAGAATAAAATTAGGAGTTTCTGACTTGAGGGGGACTAAGAAATTAATATAGGAAATGAAGAAGAACACTATGACTCCTAGCACAAATAAAGTCTCCAAGTGAAAGGAAGAATACATATTGATGAAATGATCACTACCTGGGCACCTTTTAAATTATAAGTTCAATTTAATTCTCTATCCGAAGTCATCAGTAAAGTAACTTATTTGATGTTACAAGAAAATGTATACCCCGCCTTTAACAGCTGTAAGAAATATATTTTAAAACTAGAGATTTTGATAAACAGACTTAAATATATGCCAGTCAATATAAAATAATATTTTCCTTTAATATATTTCAAATTAATCTAGTTATTCACATCACTATATCCCAAGTTAATTACAATCTTGAGAAGAAGTTAAAAAGAAAGAAACTAAATAGCAGTGTTATATAGCGATTAACCTTAAACCCATATTATCCATTTAAAGCAGTTTTTACAGAACTTACATACCTTACTACCTTTACATAAATTTGGATAACAGTGTTAAACAAAATAATAATTTTACATATTTTATTTATTCTTACAATAGATAATTCATCAATAAAATCATATTACCTCAGTTTTTGTGTAATCAACAATTATTCTATGGCTGCCGAGATCATTAAATGCAAGATACTTCTGTCAATAAATCCTATTGGTAAGGACAGTTCCCTTTCTTGGAACACACAGTAAATTTTCATATATGGAAATATTTAAAGAATACAGAAAATTAGTCATATGTTAGCAAATTAATCCCAGATTTTGGAAGTGTTTGTAAGTAATTTGTTCTTTATGTTTTATAAGTAATGTCAAAAAGTTAGAATACTGATGTTAAAAGAAATTTTCCTAAACTAAATATTAAAACTAAATTGAAAAAGATAAGAATACTTGAAAGATGTTGTCTAGCTGATATATTCTAGCCAATAAAAACAAACTAATAATGAAACAAAATACTAGGAGTAGCTGTTTTATTTTAATATATTTTCTTCATATTTGGAGGAATATTCTCACTTACTATGCTTACTAATCCAGCAAAAGTGATGTACATAATTTAAAATCATGACTAGTTTTAAAACATGGGCCCAGCATCAAATTGAATTTTGACACTTCCTGTCCTAAGTTCTTTACACAAATAAGATGTAACTTACTTGAGTACAAATAATTGAGAGTGCTAGCATCTGAATCTTTCTGAATCATAAGCCATAATTATGATACTGTTTGATTCAGAGTAGCATAAAATGTAACAAAACCTAACAGAAATAAGCTTAAAATAAAATAATAATTCTAGTTTGGGGATAAGAAATAATCATATTGATCATAAAAATAAATTCATACAAATGCCTCCTTCCCAGAAAAAGCCATACTCTAAATATTTCCCATTGCTGACTGTAGTAGTCTCTTGGTCTCCACAATGTTGCATCTAGTCATGTTTACTACAGTGAAATAAATTCTATTCATATCCCCACACATACACACAAAGAACGAGAGAGAGAGAGAGAGAGAGAGAGGGAGAGTAAAGATCAAGGAAAATAACTCGTCCACAAACAAAACAATAGATTAAGTGAACTTCG